CGAGGAGATGCCAGAAGTGTGTCGCGACACTCAGCAGCGCGCAGCAGGAGTTGCAGTCGATACGTGTAAACGAAAAGTGCCCTAGCTTAGTAGTAGTAGTAGTAAGTAATAGTAAGCCTTTATTTACAAGCGATTAACAAGCGCCTCGCGTGAACGTCCCTGGACAGATATATCCCTGGTACGAGTACTAATTACTGGGTGTAACTTGGGCAGGTTTCGTCCGCTAGTGCAGCTCCACACCTCTAAAGTAAATTACTTAATTACAGTTGCTCAGATGAGTCATCCAACCATCCATTGCTTTGACATGTTACTTAGTACTTAGAATTTAAACATGAAGTGAGCCAACATTAACATCGAATTAATACATAAAATATACAATACAGAGCAGATAATACTGCAAAATTTGAAATACGATTTAGGTTTGTCATACAAAACATGATTTTACTGTACCTATTTATTGAAATCTTTGAGAGTCATTGACCGATAATAACCGGGCAAACCAAATATTTGAATATGTTAACATTTGTAATACAGGGAATTACAAAAGGTGTTAGTAGATTACTTTCCTTCCTCACGACTTTCATTTTAATGGTTTAACGAACTGTGCAACTCTGACCTATCAGACGAAATCATTTTAACTTTCATTATTCACATTGAAATGTGCCCTGTCTAGAGCTCTACTTGCGCAACTGCCATCATCATCATCCACTGTATTTGCAACTGCATGCAGTCTTTTGTCATCTTGTTCCACTGTGTTATTTGTCTTAGAGCTCCCCAGGGCCTTAGCTCTTAAAGTTTTTTACTGTTGTGGGAGGGCCTAGTCATTTGTGCTTCATGTCTCCCTTCAGCATGCTAAGCAGATTGACACAGTGCCTTCCTTTGCGAGCCTTGTATCTGCTGGAGCCTAGGACAGAAAATTTCAGGGCTTGGACATACATGTGCCCAACGATGTCATTTTGTTATTCCCCTTACATGTAAAGAACGTATGCATCCACAAAACGAACCTGTGAAGCAGGTAGGCCCAGTGCAACCGATGGCAGCCCCCTTAACCCGCAATGTGTCATTTTTTTTAGAATAAACTTATTAAAATATAAAATATAAAGATATTTATACATAAGACACCCAAGTCATATATAAAAAAGGACCACTAATGGCAATGACATATGCCTTTGTCTTGATTTGGACACGGAGTGTGATCAAAAGAAAAAAAAAAGATGAACATAATTTATGATATAACACGTTGGTGTTTTGTTATACAATCTCTCTCTGAAAGGAACTTGTTGCCCCCCTCCCCAAAATGCATCACAACCAGTTGTGTTTTCCAAGGCCAAACTGGTTTTCGTCCGCTAGTACCCCGCCGCACCTCTGCAGCCTCATTATCTAAAGATCTCTACACACTTTCCACTCCACTAACCATGGAGCTGGTCGCAGCTGCAACTGAGTCATCGTCAGCGCCTCGAGCGAGTCATTCCGCATCAGTTGTCAGCCTTTGAAGGGTAATGATCAGGAACAATTTGACCTGTTGGGGTAGCAGGGTAGTTGGATACTAGTGTCACCTGACAAGAAGCATTGAGGTCAGGATGTGTCAGTCAGCCTTCTAGAAGCGCCACCACACTTATGCAATGTATGTGACATACATTGCATAGCCTGTTGCCTAGGACCTGATGGACAATTCTTTAAAATCTTGGTTTGAATTGATCAAAATGTATCTAAAATGACATTAAACAAATGGGACAGGGTCGTTTGTTAGTTTTTTTGGCGACGCCTTTGGGGCGGAGGCATTTGTGTAAGTACTACGATCGCTTTGAAAGAATTTCAAAAATTACATGAATGCGTTCCTCAGGGAATTAGTTTGGAGGAAACCTTTGGCCATGTGGTTTTTGGATCAAGCAGGTAACTTACACGGGGTGCCCACGTGCCACCCATCCAGCTGTCTGGCATGATTAATTACTGGTCATCAGTCTTCTCCCCACACCATGGACAGAGAGCACAGCTGTCTTTGGCCAAAGACCATATTCAAACAGGTCACAGAGGGAAAAGAAATTATCCGTCCTTTTGGAACCCACAAAAGGTAAAAAAAAAGTCAAACTCAAAGGAGCAACAACTTCAGACCAGACATAAAATCCAGTCTCTTGTGAAGTGGAGGATGGTTTTAAGTTTGGTTCTAGCGGGAACTCGACCAAAGTAAAGTAAGTAAGTATGTCATCATAAAATCTATATTGCTGGGAAGAACGGCTGATTCCTCCTATTCGTGTATTTGGTATATTGCCCCACACCTCCTCCACCCAGCCTGTAAATTTCACTACGTGCATGTCTTTATAACATAGGGAAATATGTTTTTTCTGATAATTGTAATGTAGATTGCTAGCTCCACCACATGAAATAATATATATCATTCAGTCGTCGCCTTGGCAATGATTTTTATTGCCTCTGCCTTGTTCTTTTTGCGACCCAGTGCAGATGTAAACATTAACCTTTTTGACTGAGCTCGAGATAAACAAAACATCATCCAACTTTTGGAAAACGGTTATCATGAGTTTATCCTGGCAGCCAATCTAGGCCTTGCTTACTTTGCTTAAGGCGGTCCTTCGATTTCGAAGATGACGTCCCTCATTGTTGACTCTCTGACTCTCTCCCTCTGTGTATTCTTCTATGGCTGATTAGGCCGATTCTAGCTGCTAAGACGCGGCCGCATATCTCGCAGATGTGCTGTCCCTGCTGCTGAGCCGACATGTGTCTTCTTGCTCTGCTGGTCTCCGCCCTCTGGTTGTAGCTGGCTGTGTACGATTCGGTAGCTGTCGAGCATACCTGTCTCCAACTGTTTCTGTCAGCTGCTAGTCGTTCAAGACTTTGTGGCTCGATGCCACAGGACTTGAGGTTACTTTTCAAGTAGTACTTGAACCTCTTGCGCTGGCCACCTGCGGTGCGTTTGCCCGCGGAAAGCTCACCATACAGCATCTGCCTTGGTAGCCGGTTTTCAGGCATGCGGATCACATGCCCTACCCATCTGAGTTGCCTCTGCAGAAGTATAGCCGCTAGGGGCTCGATGTTGGCTCTACGCCGGATCTCTGTGTGAGGAACTTTGTGCCACCACTTGAGTCCCAATATCTTCTGTAGGCAACGGATGTGGAACTGTTCTAATGTGCGGTTGTGGTGCCTATATTGGGTCCATGTCTCGCTCGCGTAGAGTAGAATGGAGAGGCAAACCGCCCTGTACACTGCGACTTTGGTCTTGACTAACAGGCTTCTGTTCAGAAAGACTTTTCGTGCAAGTCTGCCGAAAGAGGCAGATGCAAGACCTATGCGCCGCTGTATCTCGTCTGTTATGTCGCAGTTGACGCTCAAGGTTGAGCCAAGGTAAGTAAAAGAATTTACGTTGTTCAGTGCACTGTTCTTTATCTGGAAAGTGTCTGAACCAGTGAGGGTACCACCTTGACACATGACCTCGGTCTTCCCCGTGTTGGTGCTGAGTCCCGCACGTGTGTATGTGTTGTCCAGTACAGTGAGACTCCTCTGGAGACCTGTGGCGGTGCATCCAGCGACTGCGGCATCATCTGCGTACTGAAGTTCTAGGATTGTCCCCTTCTGGATTTTTGTCGGCGCCCTGAATCTGCGTAGGCTGAACAGATTGGACCTACAGGTTGGACGGCGGCCAATCTAGGCCAGCTACCTCACGATCTAACCATCCCATAACATTCCGTTCAGGAAGCCAAATGTTTGGGGTATTGTTGTGTGTTGAGTGAGGGAGCGAGGGGAAGATTTTTAACTTGGGCATCAATTCTCACGACTTTAGTGTAAAAAAATACTAACAGTTGATTGCAAGTTGTTGCCGGGAGGCTAGTTGCAGGTACATGTATAGTGGAGAAGACCAAATTTTGACACTAAATACCAACTTATTGGGTTCTTCTTCTTTTGCCGAGATAGTGGAAGATGGATTATCTTTTCACCTTTCCTGTAATGAAATTGTAAATTGTTATTGTATTTCTTGTTTGATCATCCAGGCGGATGTAGGCCTCTAGTGATCCGTAACACCGTCCGCAGCGGCTGCAGTCGTCCCTTCAAATGTGGAGACCAGTGTCGCTATACCTGTGTCCCCGGATGTGTGAGGCAGCGTGGAGCCACTGTCAGGACGTGCAGACACGGCCGTTACTGGATTGGTGGAAAAGGACTGAAGTGTTCATGTACGTATTACCTATCAACGTGCACTGACTTAATTGATTATCCTGTATTTAGCACGCATAGTTACTCTAAATCTTAGACAAGCTTCTCAAAAGATGACATACGTAGTCATTGCTAGAAAAGTTAAAATTATATGAATAACGGCCATTTAATTGCCCAAGTGCGAAGCTGTTGACCAACTTTTTTTTCTTTTCCGAGTTCCGTTATTGCTTAGTGTATTTTATGTAGGTTTTACTATGGTCAATATCGACCGATGAAGGCTATACATAATATATAGTTGATAACTGAGCTCGACACTTCTTCTACAGGCAGACCCTGTAGTGGTCCACCCGTGATCAGGAATGCCAACGTTATTTGGGGCAGTGGCTGCTCGGCACCGTTTAAAGCTGGGACAACCTGCAGCTACCAATGTGACCACGGGTACCGCAAAGTGGGAGGGGCGGAAACAAAGATGTGTGTCGACGGTGGATGGAGAGGTTCCAGGCTGGACTGTGACGGTTAGACTTTGTCAAATGATGTTTATCTCAACAATTAGATTGTACGCCAAAAAGCAGTTATTCAAGCAACTGGATATGATTTTGGAAAATCCAAAATCATATCCAGTTATGCTGGAATAACTGCTTTTTGGCGTATCGTATTACCTGGATGGCTCCTCTACAAAAGAAATGCAATTGAATTGATTTATCGGGGTGTATAACATGATACATATACGAGTAGGACTGTCCAAATAACCGATGGCTATCTTAAAGGGCTTCCAGTTTACAGTTTTATTAAGAAAATCGGCTTCGCAGCATGAGGTACATGTACAACATGCTGAATTACTAGTATACAAACATTATCACCATATTATAAATGGCAGAGAATCAACATTACATATGACACAGAAAAATCTCAAGCAAAATATACAAAATTCCCAACTATGGGCGCTCAAGTCATCAAGAGCATCCTAAAACAGTCTTGATTTCTGGACAATATAGAATAGAAAAAATACAGTGCTCATTTTAATGCGTATAATGTTCATTTCAGGGCGTTAATAGGGGTACCTCATTCAGATGCGTTAAAAGTTGGAAAAATTATGCAAGGGAGAGAGTTATTTTAAATACTGTGACTGTACATTCCGACAGGTTTAACAGATAGTGTTTATTTTTGTACTTTTCACTACAGCCGTCCAATGTCCGACACTGACCGCTCCAGAATTTGGATCGCTGACTCCCCCCGGACCCCACTCCTACCCTAACCTGGTCACGTTCACCTGTGATACGGGATACGTACTGACCGGCGATTCTGATACAACCTGCCAAGCTAACGGGACATGGAGCAACCCTGTACCAACTTGCACACGTAAGATGAATTAAACACTTAGAATTATAGTTATAGTAATTTCTAGCAATTTGTAGGTTTTACACATATACACGGTATATACTGGCGAGAGCATAAGTAGCTGTCCCGATAAAACGTTATCTACCAACGGCCGTCTAATATAGTGCCTGAAGGAACTGTTTTGCAGGTTTTCTGTTGAGATATTTAAAAAACTAGAATTCCGAGATCTCATACCTCCATGAAATATGATCTTGATATGTAAATGTAAATTTCTTCCTTAATTGTGCAAATGACCTCTGCATTAACATGATATATGCATCGTGATGTATGTTAACTTTTGATTAACTTACAGATGTCCCAAGTATGACATTCTCATCATTCACCATTACGAAATCATAGAATTTTCGCATTAATTATGCAAATTAGGTCATCATTTGCATAATTAGTATCTGTTGAAGTTCCAGCTGCCATAGGTTACATACATTACATGTATGTAAGTAGTATAATGTAAAACACTGTAATTATAGAATTTCCTCATTAATTATGCATATTATGTCCTTATTTGCATAATTTGCATTTAATTATGTACATCTCTCTCTCAGCTACCTACACACCAAAAATAATGAAAATATGGTGTTCCTGTCTGGACTTATTGGCTTTTAAACATTTCGCCAGAAAGTGCCCTGCAGTTCCAGAACAAGCCGCTAGGGGGCCCAAACTCATATGACTTCTTCCCAAGCACGAGAGCTACCTTCCATCAAAATTTCATGACCCTAGCATGTCCAGATCGCGAGATATCAAAACCGGAAGTTGCGCTGCAGTACCAAGGGAAGCCACTAGGGGGACCAAAATCTAATCATTTCTAGTTTTAGTCACACCCTACCAACACACCAAGTATGAAACCAATCCATCCAGGCGTTCTTGAGTTATCTTGTTGACCAACAGACGGACAGACGGACAGATAAACGCAACTGAAAATATAACCTCCATGACACATTTCATGGAGGTAATAACTGAAACAATAAATGAATGAAAGGTTTGAAAACACATAGCAGCCATGGGGTGAATTGAGTGTTTCAATACACATGGCAGATTGAGTGTTTCAATACACATGGCAGATTGAGTGTTTCAATACACATGGCAGATTGTGTGTTTTAATACACATGACAGATTGAAAAGTACACTTAAAAGTACATACTAAAACACAACGCAATGAAAAGGAGGTGATTCTTAAAAAAACCTTGTACTGCGGAGCCCAACAATTGTTGTTTTGCACATACAGTACCGTCTACATGTATATTGCAACCCGTATAGGTACGATTCGTGCAACTCAACGCATCGCACCGCAACGAAACGCAACGAATGCGAAAGTAACTATGCCACTGCAGGGCAAAAAAATGTGGGTCTAGGATCTAATTAACACATGAAATTATTGAAAAATATTGTGCCAGGAATGCAAGCAGGACAAGGCTGCAGGCCAGTCGGGTATGAACAAAACGTTCTATGACCATGTGTACTGTTTTGCTATTACAAGTGGTTCATGTACAAAATAAAATAAACTAATTAGGAGAAAGCAGCCATAAAACATTGTGATTTAAAGTCCAAATGTCCATACTTATTTGTTGTTTTGTACTTTCTATTGCAGCGGTCCAATGCCCAGCTCGGGTAGCCCCAGCTAACGGAGCGGTGACTCCTACGGGAGCGGTCTCCTACCCGAACGGGGTCACCTTCACCTGTAACTCGGGATACACACTGAACGGAGCTTCTACTCCGACGTGCCAAGCTGACGGAACGTGGAGTAGTCCTGTTCCAACATGCACACGTAAGATTAATTTGGAACTAGTATACACAAGAAATCCCAACCAAAATAAATCATTTAACGGTCATTTAGCGGTGAGGCTATCAGAAGTGTAATCTCTTGCAAAACAAGCGTTTACAAGCAGACGCCTAGGTACGTACGGTGGACAAAGTCAATCTTAAGGATATAATTTGTACGTAAAATTCTTTGTTTTGCAGGTTTTTTTCAAGAAAAAAATCAATTATTTCCTGGACCTAGGCTACATACGTGACCTACTCAGCAACAGGCATCTATTGTGTTGTCTTTTCTAGCTACATGTATATGTTTGACAAGAATTTTTTTGTACTTTCCATTGCAGTGGTGCAGTGTCCGGCTCGGGCGGCCCCAACTAATGGAGCGGTGAGTCCTACCGGAGCGGTCTCCTACCCGAACGGGGTCACCTTCACCTGTAACTCGGGATACACACTGAACGGCATTCCTAGCCCTACGTGCCGAGCCGACGGAACTTGGAGTCATCCTGTTCCAACATGCACACGTAAGATTAATCTGGCACTAGTATACACAAGAAATTCCTCGCAAGATAAATAAATCATTTAACGGCCATTTAGCGGTGAGGATATTGGATGTGTCGTCCCTTTCAGAATTTAAGCGCTGGCAAACAGACATCTATTTAAGGTTGGCGGAGTCGATCTAAGAATATCATTTAATACAAGATGCTTCTTTTGCAGGTTGTTTTGGGTCCAATTATCTCCTAGACGTACGTACGTGTCCTACTCAGCAAAAGGCATATTTCATTTTTGTACTTTACATTGCAGCGGTCCAATGTCCGGCTCGGGCCGCCCCAGCTAACGGGGCGGTGACTCCTACCGGAGCGGTCTCCTACCCGAACTCGGTCACCTTCACCTGTAACTCGGGATACACACTGAACGGAGCTTCTACTCCTACGTGCCAAGCTGACGGAACGTGGAGTCATCCTGTTCCAACATGCATACGTAAGATGAGTTTGATACTGTAGAAACTTGTAATTTCTTACGAAACGTTTTTACGCGCTATAGTGACAAGAACATGCGACCGCAGATATTAGGATATGACTATTTTACCATTGCAGCGGTCCAATGTCCGGCCCGGACGGCCCCAGCTAACGGAGCGGTGACTCCTACCGGAGCGGTCTCCTACCCGAACGGGGTTATCTTCACCTGTAACTCGGGATACACACTGAACGGCGCTTCTACTCCGACCTGCCAAGCTGACGGAACGTGGAGTCATCCTGTTCCAACATGCACACGTAAGATTTATTTGGCACTAGTATACACAAGAAATTCTTACCAAAATAAATTATTCAACGACCATTTAGTAGTGAGGATATCAGAAGGGTAATTTCTTTCAAAACAAGCGTTTGCAAACAGACGCCTAGGTACGGTGGACAAAGTCAATCTAAAGTGTATAATTTGGTACACAGTCATAGAACGCGTACGTAAAAGTTTTGTTTTGCAGGTTTTTTCCATAAAGAGCAATTATTTCCTAGACATACATACTTGTCCTACTCAACAAAAGGCATATACAAGATATTGTGTTGTCTTTTCTAGCTAGATGTATTATTTTTATCTATTTTTGTACTTTACATCGCAGCGGTCCAATGCCCGACTCTGACGCCCCCAACTAATGGAGCGGTGAGTCCTACCGGAGCGGTCTCCTACCCGAACGGAGCCACCTTCACCTGTAACACGGGATACAGACTGAACGGACAACCTACTCCGACGTGCCAAGCTGCCGGAACGTGGAGTCATCCTGTTCCAACATGCACACGTAAGATGAGTTTGATACTGTACAACCTTTTACGAAACGTTACGAGACGTTTTTACGCGCTATAGTGACAAGAAGATGCGACCGCAGATATTAGGATATTAGGTTTTTTTTCAGAAAAATCAATTATCTCCTAGACCTAGGCTACATACGTGACCTACTCAGCAGAAGGCATCTATTGTGTTTTAGCTACATGTATATGTTTGACAAGAAATTTTTTTTGTACTTTCCATTGCAGCGGTCCAATGTCCGGCTCGGGCGGCCCCAGCTAA